GGGGGGGGGGGGGGGGGGAGAATCGACGCTAGTAACGATGCAATCATCCAAATGGAGCGTGTTGCTAAAAGGGAGAATGAAAGTGGGGGTAGGTGTTGGTGGAGGGGAAAGTTTTCAATCCCATTTACTGGTGTATATACACATTGAATATCTTATTCGACTTCTCTTCAGTCCCTAACCACTGAGGAAATTCTGGTAGGCAACACTCTTCTGTATAAACGGATCATTCCTGGAGAGAAACGTTTATGAGATTCTAACAATTTATCTGTGGTACTTTATACGCAAATGACGGTGAACATCGAGTGGCGTCCAATAACGAAACAGGAGCTTCGGGAGGAGAGGGAACAGGAAGCTCTTGTACGAACAACACGATAAGCTTAAACATCCATTCTTTCTCCATTAAACCCTGAGCCACGAATTTATTGAATTTAATGGAGATTCTTTTCGAGATTTCCCAACAAATGTTCCCAAATATATATTTCTCCCTCAATTTTCTCACTCGTTAAAGTTGAATTTTGATTGAATTTTTGGATTGAAATGAACTCACTACTGATTGATTACATTAATATTCAATCTTCCCCAATGTATAATGTATAAAATAATTTTTCAGGCTGACGTAAAGAAATAATGCAGAAGAATTTATGGGCCACAAGGTGAGACCCTCTTGGTGGAGGTTGGCATGCTCATCGCGGTGAGACGTAGACGCACGTCACCACCGAAGGCAGGAAAGAGAATGAAAAAGGAATAAATATAGGTAGGGGTAAGGAGAGAAATGTTGAGGAGGCCATCGGATAGACTCTCTTGCCCCTTATCTCTCCTGTACCATCATGAATAATTTAAAAAGCGTCGTGCGCAACCCAAGGCCTCCTTCATCCACCGTCTTCTCCTTTCCGCTCGTACAACTTCCTTTCGAACGACTTTGGTGTGCTTCTTTCCATACTTTTAACCATCGAGTTTTTTCTGTATTAGGTACTACAGTGAGTTTTTCACATACACAGTGACTTCGTGAGTGTCGCAGGAGGGACTGTCTGGTTAGGCAACCAATGGTGGTGAATGGAGTTAGGATGCACGGTGGACTTATAATTTGATCGTCAAAAGTTTTTTAACGGTGAGAAAAAGTTAACCAGTAAACTTACCCAGCATGGAGGAACATGTAGAATGCGAACCTCCAAAGCTCAAGACGCTTGTCAGGACGGTAAATGAATACACTGTCAATGGGTACCGGACCAGATGGGTTAACTTCACCCATGGAAACTGTATAGTAGGTGAAAAAACCGAGCTGTAATCAGAAAAAATAATATTTGCATTAATAAACTTGCTTGTTTGAAATAATGTTGATTAGCGATAGTAATTTCATAATTTTAGTGGTGCTGGAAATTCTCTAATCCTCACGTAACCCCATAAACCCGGTCGATCCTCAAGGGATTATCCCATCCCCTGTAGAGAATAAAAAAGTATTAAAAAACTACCGCTCGATTGTCTCATTAAATTGATTGGCCGTGCTTGGAAGCCACCAGGGTCTGTGATGAAACGACAGTTGCGCTTTATGGGAGCAGTATTGTACGTCAATCTCATTAAACACTAGTTCTGTGGTGACGAGCATTAACTAGATAAGGAACCACCATATACCACCGGGATTACGGAGTCATAAATACATTAATGCAGTATCTCCTTTAATTCCATTGAAACACCCACTACCAACATATACAACATGGTGATGTCTTTATTTCAAAAGAATATCACGTCTAAACTCTAACCTTCTTTCCACCGAGGTAATATATTTTCTTCAGCTGTGGTAGTATGAACGAATTAATCCCGAGGACTCACTCTCTAATGAGATTCCTGTAGCCAGCACAAGTGGAATGGGGTAGAAAAATAAATCAGGAAGATAGCTGAGGTAAGACCATTGGTGGAGAAGACTTGGAAGAGGGAAAGATGTAGAGAGGTAGCTTTCATTCCTTAATACCGGCACAATTTCGTGGCCCTTGGACGGTAATTTAGTTTGGTACACGGAAGGACACGGTTATTCTTGAGGGGCTTTTGAACGGGGCATGGCCCTACCATGCAAAAGCCAATGGGGAATCGCAAAATGCCACTGGGTGCTTATATATGCAATATCCCCTGCTAATTAAACTACAAGACTCTCGGTAGTCCTACATGTGATGTACATACACCAAGGGCATTTTGTGGAGCAACGATGCCAGGGGCATATAATTTCCTGTGTTGAATCTCTTTGATGCTTCCCTCTCATCTTTGTGTGTCCAGTGTCGATCCTCTTCATCCCCCTCGACTAGCCACCCCTAAGTTATATACCCCCTGCCAACAAATGACAGAGTCATTGAAAAAGCACTCGTCTGCTCTTTTATCAATTCGGTCCTCCCCAACCTCTCCACTCATCATGTTCACGTGTTCCATTACCATGGAAAGTCGAACTTGTCCGATTAAAAGTTTTTCATCGAATCAGCTAGCTCTGATTCTCCTCACCTTCCACTTCCGAGTGAACCACCTCTCTCAACCCATCATTTCTACAACTCCACAATGCTTTGTTCTCATTCTCTGACTCGGCTTCTCTTGTGAAAGCCATCTACACGAAATGCAACATGTGCCTTTTGTCCGGCACTAAGCGACTAGGTCGCATGAGCGTGGAAAACTTTTCACTCTGAGTAAATTTCTACCTCTCCCCAACTCTCTCTGTCTCTCTTACGGCAGAGCAAACTCTCCTCTCACTCAACGAAATGACGGCCAATTCTATTTGTTGCCCATTGGGAAAATGGACGAGTATTCCTTTGTGTCACAGGTTATCTGTCTCATCACTGTATAGCTTCTACTCCGTCCATTCTCATTTGTTTTCATGTTCCAACGAAGGGGTAGTTTTGCGCTTGGAAAATCCATCCATCAATTCTCCTCGAGTCTAAATATAATAATGGAATGATGGTGATAGGTGAAAAAACATGATTGACAGTGGAGTTTATTGCCCTCGTGTCCGGCCAAGTAGTTTGTGTTTAGATATAGTCAGACCAGTGAAATGTGAATCAACGGTATTGGTTTCTGAGATTGTGGATGAAACATTCCCCAGATATTTACCAGCCAACTGTCTGTTTATTATTGTATTTTCCCTCGAGACAACAGCGTCTCCATTTCACTCGTCAATGTTGAGTGTACATTTGGAAAGTGCCTCGAGGATAGATGATATCCCAGTGGTTCATGCCTCATTGCTGTAAACTCTGTCGTGACATTTCTAGTTGTGGAGCTAAAGTTAACAAGGCTTTCACCTGCGTCACCTGGACTAATCGAATTGGCCCTCTGACGATTGATGATTTCCAGTTAGCCTCTCCGGAATCAGCCAGCACTTGCCTTCCTCACGACCATCACACTATCGTACCTGCGGAGTTACAACAACTGGGCCAAACGGCAAGTTGCGGTTCAGCCACAACCATAACCCTGTATACCACAACCACCGGCCCCCAACAATGTTTTGGCCAATGAGTTTTGAAGGGGGGAGTACTGTACAAAGAGTGTTTTACGTTAAAATATGGTGTGTGTGGGAGAGGCGCACATGCATCAGACGCTTTAACGCGATCCCCGTGTAAATTTGTATGCGGGCAAGTTTATATGGTACCCAAGCTGCGCGTTATCTCCCGCACTGCCAGTCCAATGAACGTGCCAAGGGAGCATACTGCGAGAAAAGTTCTAAATTTTTCGATCGTACACAGGAAAAACTAGCAGAATGCTAATTTTATGATCGGTGTTTACTGATCGGTACAATGTTTGATGCTTTAGGTTGTTCATGAGGATGTCAAGAATATGATAGTTAAGAGGTGGAGAAGGACTGTTGAGTTTACGGCGATTTGTTGATTTAGTTTTATCAACAACTCGAAATATTGTTTTTCTGGGTAAGAGGAATAGACTACTTGATGTATAATATTTCTCCTTTCATTTTTAAATTCGTTGGAGTTAAATCATGTTTGTTTTTGCTTCCGCATGGAAGCATTCAAATCGTTCTATTTTTAGATTCTCTAATTTTGCTAGGAAATTATGTAGAATGGTCTGAAAGGTAAAAATACAAAGTTTAACCACCCCGTGCGTTTGCCCACCTGGTGGTCACCTTTTAGGAACTTGAAGAATTAAAGAACTAAAGTAATTCCAAAAAATCTGAAATTTTGTCCGATTATAGGTATTAATGCGAACTAACTGTATGCGCAATTTCAACCCAATCGATCTAGCCGTTTTTGAGAAATCGCCATTTGTTTCTAAATCGTTTTTCGCAAATATGTCAAAGACTACTTAACCGATTTCAATTTTCTTTGTTTTAAATATTTGTCTCGATATCTTCTATCTCAATCAATCAAAATATACGGAGAGAAAAGTCGGGGAAAAATTCTAGTGCTCGGCACCAGAAACGAGGCGCAAACTGCCGAACTCCCATATTTTAATCGAAATAAGAATAAAAATTCAAGATCAGCACGGAAATTTTGCTGTAAGTTAATCAATTTTTGCAAAGAAACACGAGAAAAATTCTAGAGCTGGCACTAGAAAATTTCCCGGTGTGTCAATTTTGTGGGGAATTCCGTAGAAAATTGTGGAAAAAACTTGATTAATTCTTGGTAACATTAGAAATTTTATTGTGCAGTTGGAGAATTCGGTTCGCCGAAGTGAGTCGAACAGCTGCACTCGGGAGTCCCGAGCGGAGACTTAAAAATGGCGTCTTCAACGTCGAGTAACGTTAGTGCGTGTTCTGTAGAATTATGTAACAATCAGGGATTATTGGGCTTATTTTTCTCTAAAAGTGTGATTAACCATATCAAATTTGTGGGAAAAAAGTGCGAAACAACCGGTCGTAGAAATTGTTGAAAATTACTGACATTATTCAGTGATGACGTTTTAAGATAATGTAATTCCCTGTAATCGTGGAACAAATGCAATAAAAAAATCTATAAAACTAATTCGTTGGCTTAAGGCTCATTTTTTTTGATACTGTAGTACATTAATTTGAATAACGTTGATGTTATTAATGAATAATTAAGGGGGAAAAAAATTATGGCTGGGGAAAATTTTTTTGTCTGTCGAGTAATTTTTCGTTTGCCGATAAAGAAGATTTCGTGATGAAACGTCAAATGTTCTAGTGCTGAAGGGGAAATTTTCATGTGCTGGCACAGTGCGCCTCAATTCTAGTGCAGCACTAGAATTTTTCCCGGAATTTCCCCACAAAAATTCTCTGACTTTTCTCTCCGTGTATGCGCAACCATTCATACAAAGTTTGTGAGATACAGCAGAGGCTTCGTATAAGATACTTTAGGGACAGTGGGAGAGTGGAGTTCCGGGAGCCCCTATGTCTCCATTATACGCGCGCCCATAGATAGGAGGAAAATAGGGATCAGCGGGTTTCAAATAAAATACTTCCTTCGTTGCGCCCGAATTCAATGAAATTCTCATTCAAGTGTTTTATGAGCTTTAATACAATGACTTGAGCATTTCGATGTGTGATAATACCGTGCAATGTTAAGCATAATGGAAAAAAAATGCTTTTCATATTTTGAGTTTATTTGAAATGAATATCTTGATGGTATATCCGAGTGGAAATTCTGGTCAGGTCTTGATCAAGTTTGGATTAGATTAGACCTGACCACTGACCAGGTATTGATCAAGTTGACGGATCCGGTCTTGATCAGACATGTTACGCCTCTGACCAATCCGAATTTGATTACGATGAATGGATCCGAACTTGATCAAGTCAACTGTATGAAAACCGGATAACCTGTCTGTCAGTATCAATAACAATTATCAATGATAATTAATCTAAAACAAAAGATAATTCAATTCTTCCACCGTAGGCCGCCTCTCTTAATGAATCTCTACTGTTATTTTACCACTGAAAAAGCTTATTATTTTTTTACCGATGCTGGGGATCGAACCGGGGACCCTATGATTGCTAATCCTATGCCCTAACCACTACGCTATCGTGCTATTACTATTGAGTAAACTGTACATTGCCTATATGATTTGTATCGGGGTATTCATTGAATTTACGATTATTCCTGATCTCGCGGATGTACGTGTGTATTCTCAGAGATAAAATATGCTCAATAAAATTTTTATTTATTTCATTAATGAATAATAATAATGATAATCACAATAACACTAATGAATAAATAGACATTTGGTGATTTTTTTTCTCAAGATCATTTACGTGTAAGTTTGATACTCCTCTAATACGTATTTACGGCATCATCATCCCTCCCTTCTGTACATTTGAGAAGGGCAAATTGATTAATTAAATTA